CCATGCGGAAGCGCTGCCACAGCGACTTGTGCAAGGAGGTCTGCAGATGAGCCCGGAGGACGCAGTGGGCTAGAGAGAGGGAGTTAGCATAGCGATAGGGTAGATGCAGMGAYAGCTKCCATAGCTGTAGTTAGTAGTGAGTGTGTGTGTGTGTTCGAGTGTTAGAGTGATGCGTGTGGGATATCCAGGGTGATCCAGTGTATGTGAACAGTGMGATGTTTGGGCGCTGAAGTCGCCRTAGCCAATTGAGAGTGAACTCGTATCTGAAAGCCATATATCTGAATTTTGAGTGGGCGTATGTCGCCAGTATGCTGCGTTGCTGTTTACATGCATGAAAAGTGTGTTTGAGAACGAGTCTGATTGCAGTCTAAACTGTTTGCATTGGAAATCCATCACATCTTTCTGCAAAGATGGTTGAAGGCCGTACTCATCCACAACTTCGTCAAACCCTTTGTTGTCCTGGCGCGCTTGACGACACACCGGCCCCAAGCTAGCAGCGATGGGAATCACACGTTCAAACTCTGAATGGGTAGAATAGACGATGGAGTTACAACGGCAGAACGGGGCTCTCTTAAGGTCTTTCACACATTTCAACTGTTCAGGAGTGAGTTCAGAAAGGTGTCCTACTAGGAGCATGGTCGTGGTCGAGAAAAAATCCATTGAACACTTCTTGCCGAGGCAACTCATCACAGCAACATACTTGTTTCAGGAGCATAGGGATGTATCCATGCGGCTTGTACCGTTGCTCAACAGCCTCTATGGATTTCGATCGAACTTTCGTCCGAAGACTCCAGCCGAAGGCCCCGCCTTCAACTACATTGATAACATCTGCACTCAGGGCTCCAGTTTCCCGATCCATTACTTCAGCGCACCAATACAGTCTGTCCTTGTCATTTGACTTGTCCTCCAACAACAACATTTGCAGAGGGAAATGCTGACCGTCTGAGCCAACGAGATCGAAATCGATCTGGTGTAGAATCATGAAAAGACACCATACCTTGACGTCAAAAACCCTCGCCGTCAAAACAATCGCCGTCAAAACGCTCGCCGTCGTAAATGGGTTCGCGCATCCGTCTGCCATAGCCATAAAGTCTCCTGACAATATCATTATCACTCTCACGTCGAACGTTCATTCCGCAGCGAGTGAAACAACTCTCCAGCAGCTCTGAAGTATGGTTCTGAATGAGGAAGTGGTGCAAGCCCTCACAGAACTCTGACGGTTCCAGAACGTCCTCCAACTCGAACGGAACCTCATCGGGGTCTTCTAGCCATAGCATCCTTCTCCGCTGAGCCTCGCAAAAGTCGAGAAACAGGTTGTCTGTATACTTTTTGAAAAACTCAAGAGCATGTTTGACGAATGTGTGGCAATTCGATTCGCCAGCTCCCCGCTGCTTTAGCCGATCAACTAAGTACTTCGCATGGTCCTGGTGAACAGCGCCATCGTCATATGGCGTCATTTTGAGGTCGATGAAGTCCTCGCACCTTTGACTTTGATAAGTGGTGTCTAGAGAAGCGACCTGCAGCGGAACAATGTGATATTTCTCAAATACGCTCCCCTGAAAGGCCGTGCGAAAGTCAAGCACCTTAATATTTTCCATACCATCCATGCTCGCCAGCTCCTCCGTTCTCCCTTTCTCCTTCTTGTTGTCGCGTTTTTGGCAATTGTAATTATTCAAAATTATTGACGAAATACAAAACGATGACGCAACTGCACAAGGATGACAGGGAAAAGAAGCAAAACAAAGCAACAAAACTTGTCAGAATGGTAAACATAGAAGAAAAAAAAAAAGTTATTAAGGAAAGGAACCAATGAAAGACGATAAGTTTTAAATTTTGGATATAAGATTCTAGACATATAATTTAGTTACAGTTGTTACAGTAGCAGCTGATTAGTCATTTGCAGAGGGAAGAGAGGGAGGAAGCACGAAAGTTTTGATGCTCTTTCTCAAAATAGGGTGGAAGTAGGAGAAGAAGTACAGCATGAGCAGCAGAAAGAAATGAAAAAGCACAAAAAAAAAAAACAAAAAGGAAAAAAAAAAAAACTTCAAGAGTCGTCTTCGTCAAAACATTAGTAAAGGGCGAAGAGTGGGAGAGCAAGAGGAGGAGGAGGAGGAGGAGGAGGAAAGAAGCACGAGAGCAGGAAGAGGGTAGGAGGACAACCAGGAAAAAAAAAGGAATGAACTTCGACAAAATCAAGAAGCTAGGGTAATGCAATCAGACTCGTCCCTTTCTCACTCAGCAGGCATGGAAACAGATGGCAATCACACTGGCGCCGGGCGCCCACACAAAGCTCAGAGATATTACGGCCGAGAGCACAGTTCAGATACAAACTTGCTTCAAAGTGGCTATGGCGCATGAGCGCCCTTACATCACCCTCACGACACTGTATCCTCAACAACTGTTCACATGCACACTTCTCTGGATCTCCCTGGATGTCCCACACGCACACACTCCCACTGCACACCCGCTCACATCCACGTTGTAGACTAACTCTAACCTATCGCAGATATGGCTGCCTGCTACCTCTACCACTACTAGCGGCTATGGCCGCTTCACCTCCCTCGCAGCCCACTTCGACTTCGGGCATCTGCAGACCACTTCGCACAAGACGCTTGGGCAGCGCTTCCGCATGGTTCGCAGCAGAATGAATGAATGGCTGGACGCTGCCTCTTGATTTATACTTCTGTTGGTCACAAGTCTGCTCCTTTCCACCGGGCCCTTGGTGCGCACAGTCCCACATGGTACCTTCTGACTGGACGAGGTGTGACTGGGACCTGGTACTGCTGACTTGACACAATTGGACTGCCCGCTTGCCCACCTGCCTCTGGTCTAACGTGAGCAACACTCGAAAGGCCACTTCCAGACCTTCCGGACGTCTGTAGACTTGGCCTTTCGGGTCTGTAGCAGCTACTACCTTGACCTTTCAGGACTGTAGCAGCTACGACTCCTACACAGCTATGACCCCTTCTCGACAGACCTGCAGATCGAACCCCGACAGCTACACAGACCTACGACAGACAACAGTCAACTACCAAAAGACAGGTCGCGGGTTCAAACACAAAGGGTCGACTTGATACTGTACACGAGTGCATAAAGTCTAGGGATCGAGCCCTGGGATCTGCATCTGCTACTGCTACGGTGAAAACCGTTTCACTCCCGCCGGCCTAAATTCGAGGTCCTCCAAGAATACTTCAGTCAAAGGCAGGACCTTTACCTCTGTTATCTCTCTCATAGGCTCGGACTATATCGGGAGCAATCTCTAGAAGTTCGGTCCGGGTAAACCAGCGGTTGTCTTCAGGTTCTTGATAAGAGAATCTGACTTTGTATTGTTTCTGTGGACGACCTCTACCTCCTGTTCTGAACACATCTTCACCTACTATGCGATCAATGCCGTATCTTCCATCCATATCCAGAGGGATCATGGATCTTCTCGATGGAAACTGCTGACTTGTAGTGCAAGGTAACAACTTTGACGCATGGAAAACTGAGTAGGTGTGGAGGTGTGATGGTATCTCTATGGTGTAAGATGGTTTATCCTCTCCGCCCTTGACTTCCACGACTGGTCACGGTCCTCTGTAACCAGGCAACAGTTTTTGTGAGATGTTCTCCTTAGGAGCAAACTCTTTAGACTTGACCCAGACTAAGTCGCCTACTTGAAACTGTGATGGGCGACGGTGCTTATTGGCGCACTCTATCATTCTATGTCAGGCCTTCCTGAGGTTCTCTACTACGGTAGTAATCTCCTTTTTATGTTGTATCGCAAACTCTCCAGTACCGGGTGGTAGCCTCTGAATCTGATCCCAGTTAAGTCCTTCGAACGGTATGCGTGGTCTAAAGAACGTATGCAATCTGTTGGGAGTGCGAAAGGCTCCTACATGCACACTATTGTTATATGCGCTGGCTTCCTTTGTGAGCATCTCATCCCAGGTAACTTGATCAAGCCTAATATACATTCTCAGAACCTATTGCAGGGCTTTGTTCATCTGTTCAGTCTGACTGTTGGTCTCTAGATGACGGTCAGATGACATTAACAACTTAAGAGTCGTAGAATCTCATTAGCTCCTGCCAAAGCTGACTAGTGAAACGGGTATCCTTGTCGCTAACTATGGACAGCGGTAGCCCATGCTCACTGACCCAATGATCGAAGAACTTCTCTATCACTAAATATGTGTGTGCCTCTGCAGGCAAAGGAACAAAAACTGCATATTTGCTAAATCTATCAACCATGACCATGACTTGGCTATTGCCATGCCTACTCCTGACACCAGCGTCCATAAAATCGATGGACACAAAATCTCCGGGTCCTTCAGGAATAGGTAAGGGTCTGAAAAGACCAAGAGGGGTTATTCCTTTGACACACTTTACAACTGCGGACGTACTCTATGCAGTCAGACTTCATGCCAGGCCATGTGTACGTACGCATGAGGTTGGCTAATGTCTTTTGCCACCCAAAATGTCCCTTTGTATCATGGCATTCCCCTAAGATCAGACTTCGGATCTCTTCACTGTTGGGACCGCACAATCGATCTACTACGTTAGTATTCTCGAACATCAACCCATTTGTAGTGCGGTAATCCGGTTCTGACTCTGGGGCCTCCTTAACTCTCTTAATCAGGTCGCTATAGATAGGGTCTTGCGCATACGCTTCCTTGATTTTTTGTTGCAGGTCTCTCCGTATGTTCAGATAGTGCACTATCGCTCCCCCAAGTAGTCTGCTCTTCTACTTAGAGCATCCACCACTACGTCGGAATCAGGGTCGGTGTTGGGGTCAGCGTGGGGATCGGGGTCGAATGCAGCAAGATTCCACGAGGATAGTCAGGATCAAGGCGGGGGAGGTCAGTAATCGCTTGATCGATCAATCCATCAACCAACCAACCAACCAATCAATCAATCAATCAAACGATCAATCAATCAATCAATCGATCGATCGGCGTCGGAATCAGGGTCGCTGTTGGGGTCAGCGTGGGGATCGGGGTCGAATGCAGCAAGATTCCACCAGG